ACTCGTGCACCTTGGTCGTAGTACCGTCTCTGAGCGATCATTTGCCTTCTCAGATTGTTCTGTAATTTCTCATGCCTTGGCGAAAATGGGTGCAAAAAGGTGGCAAATGCCGGTATTGGAGTCCCAGTCCTTCGATTGTATAGGCGGTGCCCTGGGCTCAAGCCGATATCTGTTGAAGGTGTTGCGCTTCTCCAGTAACATGAAATACAATTATTCGCCAGCAGCTCTAGCCTTTGATAACAGTCGCTTGGTCAGCTCCACTACCGATTTCACCTTTCCATTAGATTGTATGTGATGTGGGCTGGTTTGCTGGTGCACGAATTCCCACTTGATTGCGAAGGTCCGGAACGCAACGCTAGTAAACCCCGTCTCATTGTCGGAGACCAGCTCCTCCGGTACACCAAGCCACGCGAACTGACACCTGAGTTTGTTGATTACTGCTTTGTGATCATAGTGGTGATTAAATCGATCTAAAAATAATCACTACAGTAATCCACCGCCACCTTCTGCCAGGATCGATCAGGAATATTATGCATCAGCAATGGTCCCCTCGTCTGCCGGATTTCGTTTGAACGGCACGCCTCACAGTTCGACAAATGATTCAAGACTTGACCCGTCATTCCTGGCTAGAAGATCACTTCTCTTGTTGGGCTAATGGTATGACACCCAGGTGAGCGCGACAAACGTAGTTCAGTACTTCTCCCCGGAGGGATGAAAACAAGATTTTCCCTGAATAGCAATCCACCGCAGACAGAGCTGAGAAGGAAACCCTGACTGAATCTATTCACCTTCATTCACTTTTACCATTAGAACTTCTCTTACTCGTCTATTCTTCCCTAGTTGCCTTCATGTCAGACAGCAAGGTGAAGCTAACCGCTTTTGATTCCAACATCCTCAATCCTATGTCCAATATTTCGCCTTCATTTTTCCTCTTAACTCGTTTGCCCCTAGCACATTGCCAAACCAAACGCCTCAGTGAGCGATCTTTGGCGGCATACCCGTGAACTGGTGATTGCTGCTGCCGAGGAAACGACCGCGCGCAAACTGTAAGCGATCCGATTGGTTTGATGACAACAGCGCGAACACTGGCGCATTGGTGTCGGAGAAGAATGCAGTGTTCGCTGCTCATGTGCATAACATTTCCGCAAAATTCGGCTGTGGTTAACTCGCGGGCTCTGTGGCATCAAGAATGCATGGTGGACGAAGGCCAAGCAAATGAGATGCCATGCCGAACGCCGCCAACATAAGGAATTGTTTGACTTCTTGAAGGCGGTGTACGGGACCACGTTGCAGACGCTGAGAACAGTGTTCGATGTAACTAAAGACGCTGCCTGCACACAGATGGCGAAAGCACCCCAACTGTCTCTGGAACACTCGTTCAGAGATTAACGGGACTATGATGCACAGACTGCAATGGAGATGTCTTGCCGACAGGCCCACACTGGATGAAATGCAGAGATCACTTGCTCAGCTGCGAAACAGCAAGAACGCCGGTTTTGACGGATCCCACCTGAAGAATTGAAACATGGCGGACCCGTGTTGGTAAATGCGCACACCATTTGGCGCAACCTGTCTGATTTGAGAAAAAAGTGCTAGCCGAACTGAGTGATGCCATGGTGCTACCACTGTACTAGGGAGCAGTTAATGTTGCTCGAATTATCGTGGTATCAACTTGATGAATTGTGTGGGGAAGATGATCCCACAAATCCTGCTCAACCGCCTCGTCACTCAGGTCGTTGAACCGAACCTGGAAGGGAGAGTAACGTAGATTCCGTTCGGGCGTCAGCGTCTCGTCAATTGTAACAGGATCGCGTAGAGTGACACTATCCATTGTACTTGCCGTGTATAGAATTCACCAACGCATTCGATACTGTGAGTTGCGAGGCACTGTGTCTAGTGTTGGGTGAGGTTGCTTGTCCGGGTGATTTTGTAAGTTTAATTGGATGTCTGCAAACTGGTATGCAAGCGATGATGCAGCTGAGTGTACAAATCTCGGATGACCTTGTTGTTCTCTCTGGTGTGAAGCAAAGCTGTTTTAGTTCCTGCCGTTTAATCTCCACCACCGTGCAATCACCACCTTTTTGTTGGAACGAACTCGATGGCATACAAGTCTATGATGCTGTCCGTTCTTCCATATGAATGTAAAACCTGGACGGTGTACCTGAAGGATGTCAAATGTGTGGAGCGGTTTCAGCGAGTGTTGGCGACGGACTCTATGCATCGGCTGACGCCACCAATTTGCAGTCATGGGAGTGCTGCGGCACCTGAGGTACGGATTCGACAGGAAGACACAAACAGCTATTATATAGATAATAGTGCAGGGAAACGGCACGTGCGGAAACCGAAGTTACGTTACCAGAACATGATCACGGCGAGTTTATCATGAACAAATGTTGAATTTAGGTGCTGAGAATCAAAGGCACTTGACAGTCACGAATGCTGTGGGCTGCTCAAGAGGGCGGTTGTCCAGGTACAACAGAAAGCACTGTTACATGCGGAGGAGCAACACCGTTTACGGAAACAAAAGGCGACAGGATTCTACCCCATCGACGTCAAGTGCATGGCACTTTAGCACATTCGGTCGCGATTTTCTGAGCCAAGCGGGCCTGGTAAGTCACCAGTGTTGCCACTTGGAGCTAACATCCAAAGGACCAGCAAGCTGATTATCTATGCATCATCAGCGCAGCGATTGGTAGGTGCACTGCGGCCGCATCCATTCGATTTACTAACACAGACAAATCAGGTGGCTGGTGTGCCGCATTCTTGTTGCAGTTGGTCTGTACGTGTGCCTGCGTGTTGAGTTTCGTGCAGTTCAGGGGTTGGTTGCTGATAGATATCCCGGTGTGGTTGTGCTTGATATGAACGATGACAAGGTGCTTACCTGGCTATTACCCACCACCATTACACTGGCTCCAGCAGACAGCTGTGGTGTACGGTCCTTGTGAAACTGCTAGGCTAAAAGAGTGGTTCCATGCATACAGTGTGGAACGGGCCACGTCCCAACCACCGTCTGTGTACGCATGATTACACACAGATATACAGGAATGCTGTTGCTGTGCATGTTGAAGCGCGGGCCTGTTCCGTTGATGAAACGTGGCACCCATCCACATGCCTCCCGGTCTTATTCTTTCGGGTTTGCAGTGGATATGGGGTGTGTGGATGGAGCTGTGGGTGGTACAGCGCAAGCTGCACATGGTCCCTCTGTAGGCCCAGGCGTCTTGTGGCTGTTCGCAACCTCAGTGGAAGCTAAATCTTGAAACAGATGGGGACGACCATGAGGGTCAAAACGGATCCAGTACTGAGGTCAAAACAGCAAGGAAGACACTGTTATGCTGATAGTTGGGGCCCCAATTTCCTAAACTGGCGTAGATTATATCTACACCAATAAGAGTTTGTACTGAACCAATAGGTGTTAACAGAGAAAAATCTGCAGCAGGTCTAAAACGAGCACATTGAAACACGTAGACTCACAAGCAGCGTTTATACCAAGATCAGGAAAATGAGTTGATGTGTGCACCGTTAATACTTTCAGCTGATATTATTTTAAAGAAAACTCACCCTGGACTGCAAACAAGAGTCACATTTCCTACAACTGGCCGAAAGGAAAAGCCGAAGTGCAAATAGAAATAGCTTTCAGTACTTGACAGAACTACAGGAAGACTAAAATGTGTCGCGCTGAACTAGTCTGATAGGGTAAAATTTGGAAGCATAATCATCATTCCCACTGTCCGCATATATAATGAATTAGTATGTATGCAGCGTCAGCAGATGGACAAGCATCGAGTCGAGGGAAGTGGAGTATGGTGGTGACTGATGCCAAGACGTCCCAGCGCAGTTAACCATCTGCCAACAGAACTTCGGGAGAAGTTATGAAACATCCAATGGGTTTGGGGATTACGCGGGTTCTTTGCGCATCTACGATACTGATCAAGAACGAGCTGGCTGGACATAAAGCCTACAAAATAACTGACTGGTAACACACCAGACACGGGTGGAACCGCAAGAAGAGTTGACATCGGCCGAATCGAAGGAACGACTGGACACCAGGGGAACACAATACCGACGCTTCGCTTACACATGACTAAAAACAGTCGCGCGCATGTTAGGGGTACTACTGCGAGGTGGCCCGCAACAACGTCGATTCGATGTGGCGACCGCTAGGAAACAAGGCAGACATCTTATACCAATTGATCAGCGCAGATTTGAAGAGAATAATGGGTGTTGCCCGTTTAAAACACAGCAATGAGAAATGGGTTTTGAACTTAGTTGGTCTCGTAGCAGGCATCGAAATCGGGACCATTTAGATGTCATTTGGGGCCTCTACTCTTTTAGCCCACGGAGTCACGAAGAACAACGCCTGACACGAGTAATAATTCATTTTGAGAGCCATTTTGAAGTACACGTTGTGTGGATGGATTGCTCATGTGGAATACAGCCTGCATTGTGCGCTCAGAATTCGTTACATCATCTGATAATCATAAACAACCAGGGTCATATATATCTAGCCTCTGCTAAGTAGATTTCGACAATGGAGCCCACCAGACGACAGTTCCGACTTTGTGTGACTACCATGAGAGGATCGCTTAAAGTGTAAGACATACACATGCAGGGTGCAATGTCACAAAATATCCCACCCTAACAACGCACACACATTCGCCGGCGGTTTCGACTAACGTCATTTGCATTTAACACGACTAATGCTTCGAGATTACGCGAAGACATTTGTCTAATCATGGCGAAATTATATAATGAGCAGGTCTTGGGTCATGCGGGAGTTTGCTGAAAATATATGTCTATAGACCCTGATTCACATGGAAGTGACTATTGGTTAAGAGCTTTGTTTAACATTTCCGTGTTTTTAAGCCCGAATTCGATACACTTATTGCTTCCTTTGAACTCTGTCAGTTCTCTTGTTAAACATTACTGTAAAAAAATAAGCAGCCCTACCATGACTTGCTGCTTCCAGTATAACCGGTTAACTGAATTTGAACTTGCAAAATACGCTTTCCAAGTAGAATGAATTGGAAACACTTCAATGGAAACGTGAGACACCATTACATAACAGAAGTGGGAAAATTCACAGGGCAAAAGAGAGCGAACAAAAGTAAGCAACGAATGGAACACCCGAGGTGCTGCATTCAAAGTTACGCGCCACGTGAAATGATGAGAAGTCGATGATAACATGAATGAGCATACATGACATCGCATTACACTCTCAGATGAAATGTTGGGTGAGATCAAGAGGCAAAAGTACAAAAAGAACGGAAATGGCCTCACGATGAAACAGAGTAAGTGCGCAGCACAATCTGAGACGGGATTGACAGGTTCGTCATTAGTGAATAGCAAAACTACAGCCCAAAAGTCGGGACGGAAAAGGATCGTCAGAACACGAAGCGCACATGTGACACAAACACAGTGATGCATGCAAAAAAAGTGATAAACTTGTCTGTCATATGTAGACATCGAATGATCACCTACCATTACTAACCGCATGGACGGAAGCAAAATACCACGATGAGGGAAGCAGAGGGTTTATTTGTACAAAAGTGAAATAAACTATAGGGAAAGAAACAAGCAATGCATGGAAAAAGGAGGAAACAGAAACTCAAGCTGGAACTTCAATCAACGGCCACAAACGATTGGAAGGAGGACGAGCAGGCCACCTGATGTGAAAAGACCGGGGGAGCAAAACGAACGAGATGATACCTAGACTAACAGAACGCAGGAAGAACAAGAACGAGAAATGCACACCTGGTAGTAAGTAAGGTAGATCGATACTTGTGAGGTACAAACGAAACGGAGCTAGGAATAAGATGATCCACCTGATTCTGAGCAGACTGTACTGGTGGCATACATTGTTATCGAAAACAACAACTACTCGGCACGCGACAGCTCGACCAATGCAATTTCACGAATATCCGCTCTAAGGAAGTCACAAGAGTGAGCCATACGCAAAGTTTCACTTCTTACCATATGAACTAGCTGCTTTTGGATAAAGGCTCTAATTGGAGTGGTAAATACAATCTTGGTTTCCACAGAGGTGGTGGTGAGTATGGGCACAAGATTGCTCGCAAGGATCGACTGATCTGGAACGTCACTGGGAAATAACCTCAACTGAACCGGAGTCGTGCGGGATTTCGAATAGTGCATGATTGATGATCGTGTATAATCTGACGGATCAGGTCTAGTTTCGGAAGCGATGTGAGGTAAACACTCAAAGTCAGTCGGGAGCGGGATTCGGATGTTTAAACATGAGTTATTCGAGTTGGTCCCCGATACACCGCGATGGAGGCGCAGTTGAGCTGGTCAAATGATCTAAATACAGTAGCGAGGGATCCCTGTCACACCCAAACAGCAATGCTATGACAATCTGATCTTCGTGTAGGCACGAAACATGCGATTGGAACAAACGTAAGAGTAATCTGTGCTGTGGTAGCATAACAAGACAAAAAAACAGTTGAAATAGCAAATTCAACCTACTCAATACTTTCCAAAGAGGAACCGAGGTCACGCGATCAAGAGTATACAGTACAATCTGATAAAAGAAAAACTAAAATCAACGGAGCTGTACCGGTAAATAGAAATAGACACAACCAACTGATCAACCAGTACTTACCTCAGAATCGCAATGGTTCAACTCACATCACGCATAGACAGTTATCCTAACACGTTGGTCGTTTCGGTTCGCTTTACGCTTGAGCACGATGGACACATCAACGCTTATCCCTACTATGCTTTGAGCGTCTACCGCTGCTAGGGCTACTCTCACCGCTTCGGCGGCTTCTTTCAGATCGCTTAGGTGATGTGACAGGCGAATAACGATGTCGACTTTCACGTCGCCTGTGGCTTCTTGAACGCTTGACTTTGTGGTGCTTGCTGCTGGGAGAGTGCGATCCCGGAGACCGGGATCGAGAAACGGACCCCGATGACGAAGAGGAGGATGAGTTACGCGAACGTCGTGGTCGACGTTGATAGTCCGAAGTTGTTGAAGAGGAGAGTTCGGACTCGCGACGCGTTTGGTCACGCCGTAGCGATTTACGTGATTCCGCTGAACGGCTTCGATGGCGCTGGCGACGTCGAGAAGAAGAACGATCACGTCGAGCACCCTTCCTATGCGATTTCGACTTCTTATTGTGCTCTGAGTTCCTATGGCGTTTTTTCGATTCCTCATCTGACGAGTGCGTGTGACCATCCAAATCGCGAGGAACTACGTGTTTGTCGTCGCCACCTTATGAGGTCAAAAGCAAGGAGAAAATGCTTATGTATTATGGACAAATGCGCTAAAAAGAGCAATGAACTAGCTTGATATTCGGAAAGGTAAAGTTGCGAAAGCAGCTTGATACACCATATGAACCAACACAGTTTGTTTCACATAAGTTCCTGAGGGATTATGAAACATAAAGGATGACCATGAGTCAACCAGCACAATGCAACCAACGGACACTGGACTAGGTCCGATTGACAGATACATACCATCAAAGGCGTCCATACAGTGTGCGGTGTGCGACCCCGCAACAATCAGTGGTAACGCAATAAGGATACTAGTTAAAGTGGATGGAGTGAGTTACCAATCAATAAAGAGGTGCGTATCAGGCACACACACCCACGCTATGCACGTTAGCTAGAGGTGGGAAACACCTCAGCTACTGAGTGTGTATCTGGCACACATGTTACTGTCACATACTGACTCCTGAAAGACAGGAAGATGACCTATGGTACCGAATCTCGCGCCACATGATCAGTACCAGTTTCTCCACCCCAAATGCAAACGCAGAGGAGAGCTAGGAGACAAAAGTGAAGGACGAGACCACGTGACAGACATTAACTTTTTTGACTGCCAGAGGGGATAATGATGACGAAGCAGATGGGAACCGAGTTAAATTGACATTGCGTTGAGTCTCACTTGTGAAAGGGTTCAAAGGGCTTCAAAATTCGACTCGAACACTACGGCCATTATAAAAAACATCATGAATCTGTTGTGACGTTTTGGATGCTAGCAATTCCATGAAAAAGAGAAAAGCATGAGAGTGCGATAACGTATGGAATGTTAACAAGAGGAGAAAAGTATCCGTTCAGTTTAACTCTCCAAAATAAATGTTGGTACAGACGGACCTGAGAGATCAGCCGATTGGCGTTTGGTTTCACTAGAAGGCTTTCTGGGACTCCGTTCCGCTTCTGCGTCGCTGTCACTGGCGTAAGCCACCAGGCCTTGATGGAAGAGAAAAGAGAGGGGATTTACGGACAGATTGATCAAATTCACATATATTTACAAGAAGTCATGAGGCACAATGGCCATGAATTAGGCGGTGTCACAACAGCACAAAGATAAAAGGGAAAGTTTCGCAACGTGCCAGAACGAGGTCAGTTACAAGTTCTGGTCACGTGTCTCCAGTAAATCACTGATCACGGTTTTGGGGTGCTCAACACCCAAGAGCTGGTATGATCCTAAGTAGTGCCTTGTCACACTGAACCCCAGCTGCGTGTTGCCTACCCCACAGTCGTGTTCAGTCAATGTCAAAGCTCACAAAGGACTCAGACAGCTAAGCGATAACAGAGTTGGTGTACGGTGGAATCGTACAGCGAGTGATCAACAGCCAATCTTATTTCAAAAAAGAACGTGAGCATTATCAAGGTGAGTGAGAAACTGAGCATTGTCCATGCTCCGAAATAGGCATCAATGGCTGGGATTCCCCAGGTCGGGGTGAAGATGCCATCCGGAAGTGCACTGGCGGCAAGTCAGAAATCGTTTGTACTGACAAATCAAGTCTCGCAACAGCGTGTTGGAACACATCGATAAACTGTCCCATGAAGTCACGCCATGGTACATTAAAACTAACAAGATAAAGTTCCTGTGCACATGACATGCGGTAAAATATAGTGGCCCACTTGCTCAACAGATTGAGTAAGTTCGATTGCGTCAAGCATTTAGGAGTGGACAAGATAGGCCGCCACAAAGAAAAGATGATATTAACAACCTTTGGCCACAGGAAGTGCTGCTATGTGGAAACCGAATCGCCTACATGATTTTCGTTAGTATCCCTCACACTGTGTTCGGTGTGATGAGCACGATTATTGACCGGTCGACACCGCTTCACACGCTGCAACCCAGTGACCTGTTCAGAGTACATGTCTAAAACTCAGGAGAAACGCGATTGGGGAAATTTTGATTCGTCAATTGAATTATGCGGACCGCCTATCATTCTGCAGAGAGTCAAGTAATTGTTTAGCCCTTATTCCTAAGATGCAAAGACAGCTAAGAGCATCGGAGCGGGCAACATTAAACATCCATCGGCTTCATATATGATTCCATTGACGTCTTCCCTTCCTTTTGAAGTGGATAGTGGTCCACAATGAGATGACGCGTCGCAATCTATTCAAGGAATAAGTAGTTAAAAAGAACACTCCACCAATCAGTCAGTAACCGTCGTGCTCGCCGCGCCTCGGTGGTTTCTTCTAACACCGCAACAGTTCCGGGTTCGTCACAGGCTTGTTATCTCCATCTGATGTGTGTAAACACGTTCTAAATCGGATGTGGAGTGTGGCGTTGCGAGCGGACAATATGTAACATCCATCTACTGAATAATGAATACTGGGTACCGTGTCAAGAGAGTAAGTAGAAATGCAAATCTGCACAACCTCATCCCAATATGATGAAAAATGTGATTAAAGGTATCTGCCAAGGGTCATAAGCTAATCGTTCTTCAAATTCTTATGTAGCACCCAAAAATGACAGACCCACAGTTCCACTGGGATTACAGATGCAAGATGCCATTGCTAGTATGTGCCATCGTTCACTGAATCGAGTGATGGCAGACTGTTCAGAACATTTACCACGCAACGTTCGAAGCACAGGGGCGGGATACTCGTCTTATATCCAGCACAAGCTTGTGCCGGCGTCCACGTGTGTTGCATGGCATTCACAAGTGAAGCAGTGGCCACAAAATAGGTAAGTCACTGAGATGTAATATGTGATAGGTCACAATGAGAAAAATTCGCACCCGACGAGAGGACAAGTGTAGCATCCCAGTTTCTCGTACCAGTCTTCGCAGGGTAATCTTCATAAAGTTTGAATGAGCCAGTTAGCGACATGTTGGACGTGTTCGATCTCCTGTGCTTCGCTTCATATGATTGACAGTACGTGGGTGTCGTACTTCAGTATTGGTTTTATGGTGGAAAAGAAGAGGTGAGTAGCGACCTCTTCAGACCAAGTACAGGAGCTGCGTTTGAGCGCGCAAAGCATGCGCAGTCCGGTACGAGATAGCCTGTTCGTATTATCCACAGACTTCAAACCGCAGCCCGAGAGTACACCTAGGTCTTTCACGGAAGGTGTGGAATGTAGCAGTTGGCCGTCAATAACTTCACCCCAGGCTCATGAATACCGCTTGCTTAGGTCGATCGGGAGGCAGACTTCCGCAAGCCACATGGAGAGGCGGTTGAGGTTTTGCTGAAGTAGGCAGCAGTCGCCTGGGGTGTTAAGCACTCTCCAAACCTCCAAGTCGTCCGCAAACATGGCATACGACGACCGAAGAAGCTGAGGAACAGAGTGGACCTCAGTACCGTGCCTTGGGATACGCCACTTGTAGAGGGATACCAGCCAGTTAGATGGTCATCGACCTGTGCCCTCCGCTTTCGTCCAGCGAGAAAATCCTAGATTCATTGGAACCTTGATCCACCAACATCGTTTGTAGAAGAAGATCCCATGGTTTACCTTGTCGAACGCTTTACTGAAATCGATGTAGATTACGTACAGACTTTCCCTGGTTCACAGTCTGTAACCATTTATGCCTCGTCACCAGAAGGTTGGTATTGCGTGAGCGGTCTAGCATAAAGCTGTGCCGTGCGGGCGTTAACAGATCTTTTGATGGGATCAGCTGTTGTAGACAGTTCTATTCGATCTTTTCAGCAACCTTGGCCAAAATAGGTGTCAAACAAATGGATCCATAGTCGTTCACTTTCCTCAAGTCACCGCTTTACCACTGGATATTTCGTCGCTCAGCAATGAAGCTATTAAACAAGTCAGTCGCAGCAGGTGAAATGAGGGCCCATAGAAACACACCTCAGCTAATGTGCCGCAAACATAGCTCTTAACCACCACAAACATACCTCTTAAACACCGCAAATCAAACCATGGAGTTCAGTAAGCGCGGAACCCATCAAACTCGGTAGATACCTGTTCATTTGCAAACACGGAAACAAAGTGCGTCATCAGCACGGACGCACTCTCAGTGATGGAGGTCAGGGGCTATCCGTCCAAGCCCTGAGCAGTAACAAATGACCTGCCAGCTTCAGTCGCCGTCTCTTCAGGGCAGCTTATATGTGCTGTTGTTCAAAATGCCGGCGCTTGCTTATTTTTACAATACTGAAAAATTTCGCTGTCTCTGATACGCCTCGTAATCCGTGGAAGAGCAGGAGAGGAGGAATTTGTCCCACAATATGCGCCGCCGCCGAAAAACTTTATCATACTCCTTGTCGAACCAATGCAGCTTGACTGGTCCAACTTTCTGACACTTCAATGGTACAAAAGGAAAACACCATAATGTCACTCCCCTTTTTATAACAGCTCAACACTCTTCCACAGGTGTAATTTGCAGCAGAGACCAATCCACTTGGCTCGAGTTAGACAGTCATTTTAAGTCAATTTTCCAATAGCGACGAGCTTGCTTCAGTGCACGGCTATAGGGTAAAGATAGATATAAGCACCGAGTGGTCATGTGCTGCTATGGGCTGTAGAACCTGAACATCATAAACATGCGGTTGCCAACATCAAATCTAGGCAAGACGGAGTTGAGTGCGGCGATATTCGTGTCGGATGGCATGTGTTGCGCTGCTCAACTTTCAAGTACTAAATCGACGAACTTTGTTTTGACCTCGCAATGTCCGGGCGTAAGTTGAACTTCAGGTCAGCGTACCAGAGAATAATTGGAATCAACCATGAGTAGGAATTGCAGACGACTTACGTGGCTTGGGAGATGAGGGCAACCAATTCAAGCAACGGCTGAGGGGACTGCGATAAAATGCATCCACGGGCAACTCTCCCCGCGCCTGAGGTGGATCGAGCACCAAAACTACTCGTACAGGCCATGTTCGCTTCCGTGGGCGTCCATATCTCTCACAAAAGAAAGACCGGATGTAAAGCAAGACGCAACCGCAGACAGTCGATACAGTTTCGCAGCAAAAGCATGAATCGCCAGTGAGTATGATTTCCGGGATTATTACTTCAAAATTCAGCCACGTCTCTGCTCAAACGCAACGAAACGACAGAGTTCATCTTGCTTGCTCATAAGACTGCAAGTGTTAGTAAAGGATACACGTAAGTCGCAACAAGAACCGACGAATGTGCTTGAAGTGTGAGCAACGTTCTTATCCTGCTTTTTAGAAGAAGCTTGGAAACGACCCGAAAATTTATGATACGGAGACTTGTTTCCCTATCTCTTCAGCTCAATGATGGCAGATTTGAGCCGCTCTGGTCTGGACGAACATGGATCTTAAAACCTCTCAACGTGTTTAAGAGGGGCAAGATCAGCCTCTCATTAACTTTGTCCAAAGGTGATTCTCATTGGTCGACTTTGATGATCACCTTTACTCCTAAGGATAATTTGACCCACTCTCAACACGTCCTCACCAACGTCGAAAGGTTTAAAAACTATGTTCCGTAAAAATCGACGCCATGATCGTAGCACATCTGGGTAGATAATTCACTGGATTCAGGAGGTTAGAACGCCCTTGGTCGACCAAGGTTGACTTTGCAGAGCGAAGATTTTCTCAAGCTTCACGTGGTCTGACCCGCCGTAGATTTGCAGCGGCTGAAGTTTTAAAAGCAGAACGTTGCTGCTCGCAACGGCGGAACTTCGAGCTAGTAGATTTTCACGGAACAGGAAAGCTTATCTGAAACCCGAGGGCGCTTTGGAATGTCGTGTTGGGTCAAGTACATAGAGCCTCTCGCAACGGAATGATTCAGTAATCCTACAAGATGAAACGCGGTCTGTATTGAGAGTGCGTGTTACAATCAACTCACAAAATGAGTAGTTAAAGATGATCCCTTCAATGAATACTAATATCCGGACTATGTCTGAGTGGTAATGAACTTCAATCACAAACTGGGTAGACTAAAGACCACGTTACATCCAAAAATTAGGAGATTCTAAATGGCCAGGTACAGCTTTTGAAGCCACAATTTCAGTGTGTCTGTCATTATCGTGTGGAGATAGATATAACAAAGTTGAGCGATGGCAAGAAAAGGATATGCTCTTTAATGCTTTACGCGCCATGAGAAGAATCCAGCATGCAGCATGCTCACCTGCAAGACCAGAAGGGATTTCAATAACCTCGATGGCAGGTTCGGCGCACTCCTCTTTATGGATCGACAACTGCTCCACCTCCTGCTTGAAGACCGTAAGCGTGTCTTGTGCAATATCGGAAATGAGTGACCCAGTCACATTCAGCAGAATATCCGTCAGTGTACGAGTGATGAAGCGAGACTGTGGAGAGGAAAAGGAGTAACAACGATCCGAGGTGAATATGAGGCGAATGGGTTTCGTTTCAGTGGTATCTGTTTAAAAACTGCCTAAGAACGTTTTCGAGTTGCACCAATCTATAGTGGTTTCAGCCAAGCCAGTGACACGTAACAACATAACAGAGCCTGAAAATGAGGCATAAGTTTTGTTGCCGAATCATGGCTTAGCTACGAGTTTCTCGCAAAAAGGTGACGCCAAACATGTGCATAGGAGTGTTCTGAGCTGATCGAAGTACATATGGCCTTAGCTATCCACAAATACAGGAATGTCGTAGGTTTAAATTACTAATCAGATACTTTGAACTTGTTTCTTCATGATGGACGACATAACCAAATGTTTAGTAAATGTAACGCAATCGTAAAACTTAGAGGCCATACCGTAATCACGAAAGAACGCAAAACACACAGCGGGAACATTACCAAGATCGGAAGGCAGGTACGGGCCTAAAGCCAACGCGTCGTGGGGCGTGTGATACAATGCACCGATAACTCGCTACGTGGTCGTTCGACTTAGGACGAAAGACCGAAAAGCAGAATCGGTACTGATATAGTGGGACAATCCTATCCTCCAGCAGGCGTCCTGCAGCTTTAAAGTGCGAAACGATGATACATGACCAGTAGCCACTTGACTCTTGACAACGTGGAACTAGATGTAGTTGATCAAATAATCTAGCTTGGCAGCTGCGTTAGGAGTGATGGACGAGTGACTGCCTCAGGTAACTCACCTATTGTGATCATCAAATGTGCAACCCTGAATTCACGCTACATGTGACTGCCAGAACAGGAATCCCCTCAGTCTGAAAAAGCCGTGTATAGAAGGCCACATCGAGGGTCGTCCTGCTTTATAATGATTAGACTCGGACCCCTTTGATCTGAGGCGAGTGTGTTTTTGGTTATAAATGCCTGCGGAGCATCGAGGATGTTGGATGGAATCAGGCTGTTTGCAACGATGATGATGTCTACCAAGTGCATACTGGGCGGTGAAAACCTAGTGAATTTATTGAAGTAACAAATAGCAGTGAATAAGTTGCGTTCGTTTAGGCCACTTACCGAGGAAGGCTTTGTTCAAGAGAGGGACAAACGTTGATATGGCAGTGGAAAATGAAGTCACTGACAAACGAGCCGGCCACTGTTGGTCTGTTTCGCTTTCCGAGCTGGAATTCACATGATCCTTTTTGTGTTTGGCTCCAGACGTTACAGTACTTGGCTTGTAGCTAGCATCCGTGGAACGTTTGCTGTGGTGTCCCCGTTGGATTGTATATTTAGAGTGTCTGATGCTAAGTTATTCGTGAGGCAAGGCAGCAAGGAAGCTTTACCACTGACGTCACTTAATCCTTAATGTCGGTGACCGTGTGTCGATGATAAAGAGTAGGTGTCTTGGCTCCGAATGTGCGCCTAAAGCATTTGAATTTTACACTAGGTCATTCTTCTCCCATTTATTAACTTCATTCCCAAAGTCACTATGATAGTGTGAGAGCCGCGCGTAGGTGCTGAAGTACGGTTTACTATCCTGGTAGCAATCTTCGGAGGTCAAAGCGCACAAAAAGCACAGAATAAGTGAGGTACTACTCAAGAGCATAAGTAAGCTATTCGTTGGATAAATAAGGCTAACGAATGGCAAGAACTGCTAGCACTAGTCACACGCGTAGGGAAAAGCATGATGATCACATCGCAGAGAGGAAAGATGACGGAGTCTCGATCTATTCAACTAAGCGGGTTTAGCTGTTCCACAGAGCAACTATGGCTCAAGGTGGCCAAATGAATAAAAAGGGTTCACAACGAAGAAACGTGAAAGAAATAGGCAAGAAATACATTTATCAACGAAAGTTGCTACAATCGGCAGTGGAATAGAACCCATTGCAAAAACATCGACGTTGCTCGACTACGACAGCGTTTGAGATACTACTAGAAAGGCTTTAACCAAAGACGCGACAAGATTTAATGGTCGCACTCCTCATACTACTTTGTCACGCAATCAATTGATCAATTCGGGAATTCATTTTGATGGGGGGCACGTGAAAATCACAACGTAGACACGTGGGCAGTTCTAGTTCAACAGACATTAGGAGGATCCATGTTGAATATCAAGTGGTGAACCTACGCAGTGTACTCAGAGACACAAATGATCAAGCACGGACATGGTGTGTATGTATAATATTTAACACTGGTCGCACAGCACAATCAGGTACCTTGCTCATGATCGAGAAGACGATGCATTACAGCCTTTACAGATAACGGACGCTTTTGAAAGCCACATGCGCCTTGATCACACACGAGGTAATCTTTTACACACGTGGACAATTCACCACCAAATATACTAGGTGCCCCATAATCGTGAAAATAGTTGATGCGTTGGCCAAATTGCAAAGAAGATGAGAAAGCGTTCGAAGGCCAGCTTATTCAGTAAATGTTAGAAGGGGATAGGGAGTTGTTTGTTTGCGTAATCTAGGCTTACTTGCTGCTCACCCAGTAAAACTTGTAATATAGAGAAAACGAAAGTCAGCCGAAAAGCGGTACAGGAGAGGGTCCCCAGTGGACCAGGGCACACAGACCAGTGGTTCAGGATAGAGACGCAAGGAAAAAAGAAAAATCCGTTGACAAACACTCTGGGGATGCTTAGTGAGAGAGATAAACGACTAACATAAATGGTTTTCAAATCTAAGGAGAAAATCACAGTACATCACTTGGACGAAAACAAGGAGATAAAAACGAAGCATCCGGTAAACTCAACGTATGGTGGCGCGGTGCGATTTGAGACTACGTGAACTTGGACATGCTTCTTCAAACAGAAAAAAACCCAATCAGATTAGGAACAACTGAAGCTGCGATTAATCAGGTTTCCTTCAGAGTGCCAAAGAAACGATCTAAGCACATAGGAATTAATGAAGGATGGAAAACGAAGAAAGGATTTGTAAATATTCTACACTAACTTACCGTCTCAATTTGTTGATCCTCATCAGTCAGGGCGTTGAATTGTGAACGAAATTGCTCGGGCGTCAACAGACTTGGCGAATCAGGCGTAGCCTGTTTGGGACAGTAAGACATTGGGCGATGACAAAACAATGGCCCAAAGTGCTAAGGGAAATGACCGCGGTCGTTATCATGTATACATACAAGACGTATACACTCCGGTTCGGAAAACAGTCCGTTAGCTAGGTCACACAAAATGTGGGTGAACTGTGGTATCCAAGAAAATGTGAATTAACCATAGGGAACAAAGATATAAGTAGATGTATAAGAAAAACGAACGTGTCTAAAGATGCACACACAGAGGGAGAGAGAGTAAGCGATAGAGAAATAGAAATGAAGAAACGACTGAGAAAAACCTGCATTGGAAACGTGGAATTTCAGAGACAGCTTACCGATTTCGCCGACAAAAAAGTTGGTAGACTACCCGCATTTAACCGTTTTACACCTGAAGTACTACCGGACTCATGATCGTCGTGGCCCAAGTTGATGGTGTCTGTTGAGATCATTGGAAGAGGAGATAGCAGCTCCACCGCAGGTTCACTAATGGGTCCTTCGACATCTACGAAGTGAGCAGGACTGTGATGGCGTTCAATCTCGGCCAATGGAATGCCACTCGATGCTTCTTCATCTTCCTGATCCGCCTCCTCTCTTTCCTCCTCGTCGTCGTCTTCTTCTTCTTCTTCGGTGGAATCGTCCACAGCCACAAGCCGGACAGGAGACACAGGCGGCTCGTGCTCTTTGGCCTCGTCATCCTGCATAACGATATCCCCTTCTGCATCGCGCTCAGCATCTGGAGCAGCCCCCAACACTAAGGGGATAAGGTGAACGACACGAGAAGTGCATGAGTGTTGAGCGCGCATCGGAAACACGCGAGACGGGTTTGGAGATAAATGTGATGAGAAACGCTATGAGAAGCAGTTCTCACATTTCGGTTGTGTAAGAGCGTCAGATGATAGGTACTAAGCACCGGGTTTAAATCGCAGTCATGATATAACATGAAGAGTGTAAATAAGTGCACAGCCGCTTTCGGAGTGCAATGTTGAAAGCTAGCAACACCTGACAAATTTATGTGCTTCAGATGCGGCCCCGGACGGTCCGGTGGAGGGGGCTCAGGTATCAGCATTACGCCGGTACACAGTACCGACGCTGCACTGCTGCGCAATCACCACTAGTCGCGCTTGGAATAAGGGTAAAGCGAGGGTCACCTATGCGGGCTCGAACCCCCCGCTCTCAGGTTTGTGATTCTTAAGGCCACGGTCCGAGGGACTCAAGTCAATGTGAATCGCAGTTCAGAAGTAGAGATTGCGTGTTACAATGAATGATTCATGTTGTGGTACGGCTTACCTGTTGCTACCATGCAGATGACCGTAGCCAGAAATGTGTTGTGGTTTCCGCTGACTTTACGGAGAACTTGCCTGAATCTGCTGTGCCGCCCCCAACCAGTTCATCTCCGCACGAAATGAGAACAGCAAGACCGGCCTGACAGAGGGATTCTGATTGCATGAGAGTATGATGCAATAAGTAGGCTGTAAAAAACCACTAACACAAGGAAACTGGTTCAAGTTCATGGTCCGACTGATCGTTGATTCCTCATAGATTCGCATTTTGATCTATCCGTCACACATATTGGCTGCCCACCGTAGTCGTGTTCCTCGAGATCAAAGGTGCCTTCGATTCTGTGGATCGATGTGCCGTTTCGGGACTGTCTATTCAGGAAAGGTGTACCCGAGAAATATCTAAATATTATCCGATCATTATACGCGCGAAGCTCAGGCAGAGTGAGGGCTTACGGCAAGCTGTCATCGCCCTTTAATATCTCCAGCGGCGTGAGACAAGGTTGCCCGTTGTCACCTTTCCTCTTCAACTTCCCTATTGACGAAGTCATGGAGATTGCATTTACAGGACACGACTTAGAAGGTTTGGAGCTAATCCCAAGAGAACGACTTCTTGACTTGGAGTATGCAGATGACATTGCCCTCATCTGTGACAGCTCCCAGACGTGCCAAGCTGCACTGGACAGATTAGCACTGGCTGTCAGCCGCTTCAGGCTTTGCCTTGCACTATCAAAGTGCAAAGCTTTCCTACAAGATTGACAGGGATCGGCTCCTGCGCTGACCCCTGGTGGGGATCAGCTAGAATTCCTTCATAAATCTAACTACCTGGGACGTTATATCAGCGCCCTTGGGATCGAAGACGATATCACGAACCGTATAGCAAAAGCTCTAAGTGCTTTTGCTAACCTTTGCCACCTATGGCGGCAGCCCGATATTACTCTCGCCCTGAAGAGTAGAGTGTACAATGCAGTGGTACGTTCAATCCTACTGTACGGTTGCGAAACCTGGCCCCTTAGATCAGTGCACATAGAGGCTAGTTATCCTGGACCACCGGCGCCTTCGCAGCTTGGCTCACATTTGGTGGGAACACCGAGTGACCAACGAGCGTGTTCGACACTTTGGTTCCGGCACAGGAAAAGGAACTGAACCGCTCAGCACAGTCATTTCACGCACCAGGCTTCGATGGCTCGGTCACGTGTTGCGAATGCCAGCCCACCGACTCCCGCGACGTGCGTTGTTTGCTCACAGGGGATGTGGATGGAAGAGGAGAAGTGGCCAAGCGATGACTTGGTCCAGAGGAATGAAGGCCAGCACTTCGAGGCTGGCCTCGGTTGGGGCTTCATGGCTTCTTGGTTGGGGTCCAAAAGATGATGAACACGTTTGGCTAGATACACTTGCTGACATGGCTAGGATCCGACCTCAGTGGCGTTCCTTCTGTGAGTTTCTTTGTGCCTCCCCATCCCTTTTAGCCTCCCCTTGCAACCGCCATATTATTTCGTAGCGTAATATAATTTTACATCATAATTTTTCTTGTTGCCTAGTAGCCGGCTGGTAGCTTACTGAAACGATGCCCATCCGTTGCTGGTAGCTCAGCTGACATGCAACTGTTGAATTTCTTTTCTTTTCTATGTATTGTAGCACAGTAGCTGAGGTGTTTCCCACCTCTAGCTAACGTTTACAATGATGATTTTAATGCATATTCGCGTTCGATCTCTAATTGTGGATCGATCCACTGTTGCGGCACTGCTCTCGACCTGAACGCTGACTCTCCGTAGCACTTCAAAACAGTCATGATACATTGTGAGATGAAGTGTGTGAATGGCAAGCTCGATAAATCTCATGGAAAATGAGTGTAAAAGACAGAAGCCACCGCATCGAGCGGATGTGAACATGTGTAACCACCCTTGTAAATTGACAGATTTGTCCTAGATTGAAAATTCACCATGTAAACTCTATGGAACAAGACCTCCGTATATTGACTTACATAAATAAACCAGTTGTATGTTGACCACTTGGGTTACAACAGTCATTATTATAAATTGATCACGTGAAGGTTTGCTGTATAGTGGTCGCCGAACAACTCGTTCGTTCAAATAACCGTGTGTGTGGCGAGATTTTGCAATGTGTGAAACTCTTCTTACCCACAATCACTGTACTTTAAGACTCCGCAGAAGTTTGACGATACAACGCTCTATACGTGTGCAAAGGTGTGTATTTCTGTTTCGCCCCTGATTGTTTACGCGCCTAGGTATTTACCTCGTAAACCATGCCCCTATAGATCCGCTTCCATTTTTTGGGTGAATCTTATTCTCACCCGTCTACGTACCCAGGCTCGTATGATACACTTCCATCGGAGCATGTGCGCAGATAGCAAACAAGAGTTTGAGTGCCTGTCAACCGTCAATTAACCAGTTCTAAGCAAACCTGTTCAGTTAGGTTTGTGATAAAGGAACGAGGCAAGCAAAAAAGTGACATATCTAAAGAATGATCTAAGTTCGATGAAACTACATTGCGCTTTGAGTTATTCTAATACTGTATGATTTAACCGTGTTTGCTATTACGCAAGGGCTCATCCAATATATTCCAAACGGAAGATAAGTGAAAACGATGTTTACACTGTACTACTCCCGAAGGGAAAAGTAAAGTACTCTGTTTTTGTTACAAAACCTATATATGTCTACCGCCTCTATAGATTGACAAATTTGGTCTAATCCCTTAGGTGGTCAGCGTATGGAGTTTTACCGTATGTAAGAAGAAACAACCACACTAGTGCAAGTCGATCCCGGACTAGCCACTACGATCTATGTGGCCACTAGGATGGGGGGAACCATTGATAACGACAACGACAAGTGACGAGGACAATGAGAAAAGAAGAATGTGGACGAACAATAGGTCTGAAACATCCGGGAAAATAAGTGAAGACGATGTGGCTGATAGCTGGAAGCCGGAGGCAGCACAGCGAATACGGCGTCATTCAACGACGCCTGTTGCCTGGAGTAGAAGATCAGAATCAAGCACAGTCCTAATACGGGTAATGCCGCTTGTCATCAAATCGGCCACTGGAATCTGAGCAGAATTGTGCTACACGACATAGCCTTGTAATTATGTTTGGAGACATACATCGGCCTCAAAAATGCCCAAGTTGACAGCAAGACATGCGTCCATGGACGATCTGGAATAGGAGGTCGAAGCTGTAAGACACGTAACTTCTGGCACACAAGTAGCATGAATTGAAGAACAAATATCGGTCACTTGTTGGCTGAACTGGGAATAATAAGAACGCAACTGAGAAGAAACATAGAGGTAAAATGAGCTACGGCGGCGGTGGAACTCCGTACAGTCTGTTAGACGGCAAATACCCTTGCATGCAATGTTATGAAGCATACAGAGGGTTGTCACACGTAGCCATAGCAGGTTAACGTGTGATGTGCCCGCGACCACCGTTCTGGTGAGCTGCAGACCAATAAACGCAAGCCAGTTAAAATGATGTAAGCGGTAGAAAACCTGTGAATGGCAGCTGTACAATAACACTGGCAACTGGTGGGGCTTGTCACCGACACTGTTTATTTGACTGCTAACCAATAAGCTATCTGGTATTAGTTGAGAAAATTAAAATCTACATACACGACAAAAGTGGTCCTTCGAGAGGTAGGTGTTTTCACCATACTCTGATGTCAGTGAAAACGGACAGTGGAGAGGATACGAGTAAAATACGGAGTAAAGTTCCCTAGTGAACAAAGCCAACAGTGTAGTGACAAAAGTTTTGCCGATTATGTGGTAAAGAAAATAGGCAAATAATAGATGAGTGCATACCAGTATCGCCAGTTACAGCAGCCAGCTCCTTGGCTTTTTTCTTCTCCAGCTTCTCCAGTTCATCGCGTAACCAAGCGGGGAGAATGCGCTTTTTACTTCCATCGGGCTGCTCTTGTTCTAAAAGCTTCGGTGGCCAAGCACCGGTGCTAGCAGCAGCTTCCTCTGGAAAGTGAGGGGGGTAAAATGCAACCGTGAGAAAAATGGCCCATAAGCAATAAGTTCAGTGAATAATGCGGTTGAGAAAGCACGCCGCTTGGAAGAATATCGCATAACATATGAAGCCGATGGGCGCATTTTTCCCAAACGGACCACAAGCAGCAATCTAAGGAGCTGGGTGTGACGCAAACTGAACGACCGCGTAAGCAATGTAGCGAAGAATTCCCCGTCTTTTGGGGCGACGTTCGGTGAAGAATCGCGAGATTCCGTTTGTGTTGCGGTCGTATTGCATTCATACCCACTAACTATGAAAACAGCATACACAACACGAATTTTGTGGACTATGTCCGAACACAGGTTGAAAGCTCGTAATAGTAGTTTGCCTAGGCTCAGACGTACGAACAGTTGGGACTGAACACGCAAGTGCCATCACCGTATACACTGCCCGATCGAGTAGTCAGTGCTTTACGGGCTGGCTTGCCGAACTACCTTTACGTGGTGCCAGCTGGGTGGTTTGAGTTAATCCCGTTTAAGCCAAGTGCTAAACGACAGTGTTATAGGATGTGGTGATTTTTGCCTGGTAAGCGCTCTCCTTCTAAAAGGCCACAAATGTATGTTTAACAATATTGCGACGCGGTGGATGTGACTAGCCACTAAATAAAGTCATTTCCCGTTGCTTCACCTCGGGCGGGACATTGCACCACAGCAAGTGTGCTGATATCCTGGGGAGGATTTGGACCCTGTTTGGTAACGGACCAAACGAACACAGTATGAACTTAGAAATCAGTCACCGACTCCAAATGGGCACGATTCCTTGAACTCGCCTAGTTGCCTTACGCGCAGGCTACTTAACCAAGTGATCGGGGTGGTGTCCCCTATGTTGTGCTCAGACCCAGCAGGGATCCCAACAAATTCATCGACCGCTCAAACATCCAGTGACTGGAGTGGTGATGACAGATAGTGCTGTCATGCATGGCTACCGAGGTTTCATTCCACGGAAGCTCGATGTCCTTGGGATGAGAGAGTGAGTTCCGTGTGTAGGGAATCCTGGCAAGCTTGCCCGACCGATCCATTTGCGCATCGGTATCTCTTGCAATTATAACGATATCTGAACTCGTTACGCTGCGAAGTAGTAGGTTAAGTTCGTGGCAACTTAAGAAGTGGAGGTATAAGCGGCAAAGACAAACAAACAGCATCTAGTACTGCATTGCGAATCCACCTTAGTTAGTCTCCAAACCGATTGCACACAAATGGATGCGTACAGAAATCCAACTAACAAACGAGAATTCAACTTCGCAGCGGAGATGCCTGATCGTAAGACAACGGTAGGATAGCAAAGATTCGGTGTTGCAGAAATGAACGCTATTCCATTTCTAATCCCCAACTCGAAGGATCAAGAGATTGAATTCATCGGATCTCTAACTAATGAGTTGACCCAGGGGCACGAACCAGTATAGCTCAATGAGCAGAACGCGTAAAACCATCGCACAACCTTAAGACCCAGTCTCGTCGCGACGGGGAAAATTAGGCAACTAGGTGCGAAACTGTATAATTTGGAAGTCAATTTACCTCCAGACTGGAGGTTGATTGAGCCTCTGGATGACAACGCCACGGACAACATGCTGAGGACCAAAGAACCAAACTTTTAAGTATGACCATTTGAAACAGCTTTAAATAAAGGTAGCTTGGGTTGGAGGTTGTGGTACTGATTTGTTCTCCAATTTGGTGACCAGAGGAAAGCGCATACGAAAATTGCAGACAACAAAAAGCGCTGCGGTCGATTTTGCGTGCGCATTTTTCGTGTACACGTTTTTTGTACGCGTACTAATGTCAGTGGGCTTTCTGCTGTGTGGGACTTTCATGGACACTTTCATCGTAGAACCGGGCAATTCAGCTATAGATGTTTCGCCACAAATCCATGTGGAATTTGCGATAGCAGTGTCCCACCAGAGTGAACAGATGGCCAATGGGACACAAACCTGACAGATTGGATCATCAGCTACCGGATGTTAGTTTGCGCTTTTGTGTTCCGCGTCGTGTACTTAGCTGAGTCAAATGAAAAACCTCACCAAGCAAAAAGGATTGTTGTTTATGAAGGTCCACGAGCAATACGTATTGAAGCATTCTGTGCGTCAGCTGTGCTACAAGTTTCGCCGAGTTGATTTCGCTTGTTTCTGAAGGACTGATTTATGCAACAGCATTCGCAGGGTGAGTAGTAGTAATTGTCGGAAAAAAATCAAGTTTCAAGCAAAATCAGCGGCGGACATCTCCAGTTACAGAATCGCCCTTTATATATGCATGAAAAAGTTAGCTCCGCAGGCAGCCGTTTACAGTTCTCCACTTGCTTGAGGCTTCATACTCACTGACCAAGTATCTACTAACACGTACTGAAAACTATACCTCGATTAGTAGTGAAACATCTACATATAAACTCCCAACCCAAATAGTAAACCCACAACTCAGGTATAAACCATGCTCGGAAAAAAACGTGTTACGAAGAATTGTGTGATGGTCGGATAGAAGCTGGGTAATGACAGCTCGCATTAGGCTAGATGATAAAGGAGCCCGTTTATAGAAGCCGTTCGAGCTGTTTCCTTGCTGTTAGCCGTAGTCGCAGCTCGAACCAACTCAGCTCGAAGCTCGCTAGCCAAGAGCCAGCAGCCAAGAAGAACAGCTCTAATCCGGAGTCAGTCAATGATGGTACATTTGCGTAAGAGACAACCAAAGAGAGCATTTAACGACGCGGATTTTGAGCGGTTCTCCGAGCTGAGTGATTATTGTGCAGACGTTTCGTTGCCTGACTAAGCAACATCATCAGTGCGGCTTCAGGGGCCTGGTTCGCAGTGCCTCGTAAGCGATTTCAATGTCCAAGTGCTTATTGATCGAGTTCTGCTTTGAATGCCAGGCTTCAATGAACTCACATGCTTGCCGGCTTTTAGCCCTTCCGAGGATACTGACATGCTCTATATCGAATTGATGGTTCTCAGCATCCATATGCACTAACATCAGGGAGTTCTGATCGTGGCGACGTATGGCTAGGCTGTGTTCGTGTAGCCTTGTGCCAAGCTTTCTCCCAGTCTGTTGCCTAGTCAGGCAACGAAACATCTGCACAATAATCACTCATCTCGGAGAACCGCTCAAAATCCGCATCCACACCCCGAACTACAGATATTCTCATTTATTTCAAAGCATTTAACCACATCTGGTAGCATGGAATATTTCTCTGGAGCATTTCTACATGCTGGCAACAACGCTAAACTTCCGGGATCAAAGATTTGTCTTCTGAATCGATCCGCAGTCCGAATACTTGTATCGGCAGAAAACACCTTTGACACCAAGTAAAGTTGGTTATCCTACGAAGGAGTACAAAACATCGGGGGCACTCACCGAACGCCGACATCAAGTGCTCTGGAACAGGTAGATGAGCAGAACAAGCAATCCGGTCTGGCGTGAGTACACTGGAGGACACAGCAACGGTAGCTGCAGTGACTGCTGTATGGGAACTGGAGGAGACGAAAACGGATGGAAACAGATGGTTCTCCTCTGTCACTGAGACGTCAGGGGTGTGGTAGGTTTCACTCGGCTTTACGCGTATGTCAACATCACGTGCCGCCAACTTCTCTATCTCATCATCCACCGGGTCAATGATCTCTTCTGGAGGAGCTCGGTAATCGACGTCTCGTGCTTGATGGAATTCACGTTTGGGAGGGTGGAAGCGTGGTGGGACGCCGTGTCGGGGATGGGAATAGCGATACTACACGTGAAAATTGAAGCAGAAACCAGGAAGATTGGTAAACACCATGAAGGGTTACGAGCGAAAAGAAAAACGAAGCATGCGATGGTTACCGTGGAAAATAGAGTCAGCGATTATACAAGGAAGCATGATGGACGCAGGGGATCAATAAACCATAGGAACGGATTGTGGATTCCGCTTGCTATTTCAAATGATCCATGCCACCAGCCCCATGAGATTGTTGCTCACGACAGACATTCTGCCTGGCCCGTTGGGTAAAACACGCTCAAGAAAAGTCATTGGCCGGATGGTCCGCAGGTTGTACGAGTTAATGGTTCAAGGAAAGTCTGAGGTTCGAAAAGCGAGCATGACTCTGCCGTTTCTGCGCTGTCTGTTCGGATCCTCTTGTGTAGTGAGATTAATTTTAGGGAAATAACTCAAAGATTCGAACAGATGTGGAGTTTGGAAACCCTCTCTAACTCAGACGAACCGATAAACTTGATAATAATTGAAAAATATAAGGCCACAATTGTTGTGCTGACTACAAGCGTATCAGAATGACACAAGTTATAACATCCTGACCAGCGATTTTGTTCGCCTCCTAATATAGAAGGGGAATCTCAGATGACCGATGCGCAGATACAACTGTATAAATAACCTTTTGATTCAATGGCAGCGCCACATACACTATAAGCAGAGCATAGCTGTTTCTCGATCCCAGTGTCGGAGGAGCTCCCACGATAGTTAGTTGCTAGATACCTTTCCAACAACAAATGGAGTTCGCCAGGGTCGTTTCGACTTGCATTTTCATTCAGTGTTATCGCATACTCCATCATGAGATGTTTTATGTAGAAGCTCCCGATGCTAATATCGAGATTCTACTGGGAACAAAGCAAACCTATGCGGTGAACATTGTCTTAGGCTTCAAAAGTCGCGGTGCTAAAGTCATTTCTTGGTATGCGTCCCACAACTAAACAGCTGGGTAACGAACCCCAGCCATTTGCTAACTATCCAGGAATTTCATGATGGGGAACCAGAAACAAGTGATAAACTTGTATTGTTACTGGCAGCTGTAGCATTGTAACTGTCATGTAACATATCTCGAGATATGGAGGTGTCTTCATAAATCGGCGGTAAGTGGTGCAGTTTCACTTACTTTGAAAGGAGGCGTGTACGTGATAAAAGTGTGAACCGTTCGATACTATGATTGAAGCCTGGTAATTCGATTTGGGGAGCGTATACGCGCGCGTTGAATATCATCATCATTATACATATACATCAGTAATTCCAAAACAATGAAACATCCAAAGCAGTAGCTGATGAGCAGGCAATTTCGTCAGAACATCAAGAATGAAAGAGCTGCAATGAATCAGAGCGACTGATCATACGCCTGTTCCCTGCTTGTCGAATTATCTGTTTACTTGATGTCTATCGACATAGGGACTCAGGAGTGCGACCACTGACCTCACATGGAGGTTACTGATCCCTATGACGTGTGCAATAGGGAAGCCTTGCCTTTAAGGATGCTGTCCGCATTTTCCAACTTATGTCCAGCTAGAAGCAGCCCCTGACAAGTGTCCAGTGCCAGTTGCAACTGTGCCCACATCTGCAGGGTGGACTGATTGTTTGAAGTTTGGTAACGAGTTGTTTGTGACGGGATCAGGCTGATAGTGGAATGAAAACCGCAAAGAAATGACCCCGCAAATACTGCCCTATCTTCGCACGATACCAGGCAGTTTGTGACCGAGTGACTTTAGAGAGAACAATGCATGTTAGTTGCGAATGTAATCCGATTTGACAATAGCTCCCTCTACGCCACCTGCATTTCTCATTGGTAGGATCATTGAGGTTCCATGGTAAAAGATTGACAAAAATGGCTGGTTTCGCTGTCGGTAAGTAAAATGATGGTCATTAAATTCTAATCATCATCACTCGTATCAAAATCACAGAGAATAATATGGAGAGAACAAGTATGATGGACGTGGCTTACCGAATATGGATATCGACTATTTGGAGTGAAGGGTGGAGGCCGAAATGGGCGAACAGAAGGATGCGGAAATCTGCCAAATCCAGGACGAGAGAGAAGAAAGTTGCCCCTAGGTCTATATCGACCATATGAAGGAGGTGGAGGAGGAGGACGATAACCCATATGTGGTCGAAAACCAGCCTCATAGTGATGACCTTCCCATGGAGGATACGGACGATAGGGTGGTGCAGGTTCGCCAGCAGAGTAATGTGGATAAGTATGAGAATCATAGTGCATAGGTGGAGCAGCGTCCCGAGGGTCATGATAGTACTCTTGACTATCCCACGGTGGGTAATGACCTGGATCATGAGAAAAGGGTGGTTCATGGGGCATGCCAGTATATTCGCCCGGGTGACAATGACGAAAATCAGAATCAGAGGACCCCAGCGCGTGTTCACTGTACTGCTCGTACTCTACGTAATCGTAATTAGGCATTGAGTAGTCATTTGGAGCCTGGAAAGAGGCATGATCAAAGTGACGGCCAGGTGGATAATTGCTAGATTCATCAAACTGATGGGGAGCCGTGGAATCTTGGACCCAAGGTTGTTGGTCTGGAACCGAGGAATCTTGGGCCCATGGTTGTTGGTTTGCAGCCGAGGAATTCTGGGCCCATGGTTGCTGATCTGGAGCCGAGGAATCTTGGGCCCATGGCTGTTGTTCTGGAGCCGAGGAATCGTGGGTCCATGGTTGCTGGTCTGGAGCTGAGGAATCTTGGGCCCATGGTTGTTGGTCTGGAGCCGAGGAATCTTGGGCCCATGGCTGTTGTTCTGGAGCCGAGGAATCTTGGGCCCATGGTTGTTGGTCTGGAGCCGAGGAATCTTGGGCCCATGGTTGTTGGTCTGGAGCCGAGGAAGCTTGGGCCCATGGTTGCTGGTCTGGAGCCGAGTCTTGGGCCCATGGCTGTTGGTCTGGAGCCGAGTCTTGGGCCCATGGCTGCTGGTCTGGAGCCGAGGAATCTTGAGTCCATGGTTGTTGGTCTGGAGCCGAGGAATCTTGGGCCCATGATTGTTGGTCTGGAGCCGAGGAAGCTTGGACCCATGGTTGTTGGTCTGGAGCCGAGGAATCTTGGGTCCATGGTTGTTGGTCTGGAGCCGAGGAATCTTGGGCCCATGATTGTTGGTCTGGAGCCGAGGAAGCTTGGACCCATGATTGTTGGTCTGGAGCTGAGAAATTCTGAGCCCAGGATTGTTGGTCTGGAGCTGATGAACCCACCTGTTGAGCACAAGCTGTGGGATGCCCGTAAGAAAAATCGGAGTTTGTGCTGAGTGGTATCTGAGCAGGTGTTTGTTCTTCAGCTTGTGAGACTGGAGGAGGAGGAGGCGGTGGGGGCGGTGGTGGTGGGGGCGGAGGAGGTGGCGGGGGTGGAGCACAATCAGCGTACCACCCGGGCTGTTGTGTAGCCGGTATACGTTGACTGGCCCATTGCTTAGCCAAAGCGGCCCAGCTATCAGCGTCTTTAGTTGTATCGGGTGTAACTAATCGCGGACCGTGGATGAGCGTTTCGGCCCAAGACTGAGGTGTGAATCCTGGCCACATTAGTGACTTCGGTTAGTCTAAAGTAGAAACGAAAGCCGATTAAACAATAAGGAACCAAGAAAAGCCTGGGTCACAAAAGTAAGAGAAACAGCCTGAAGGTGCCCACTAGTCAAGGAGAGAAAATCAAGAAAACTAGACAGTAAAACCGGATGAATATCGCTTGTTGCAAGCGGAAATGTGCTAATTAGAATATACCTAATCAGATGAGATTGGTCGGCACCCGAACTCAGCGTAAGTACGCTGATTGGACAACAATGAAGAGTGTCAATAATACAAGGGAGTTTTAATGGCAGTCGCCATGTTGGTTCACATATGAAAATATGACCAGAACATCGAAGAACACTGTAATGAAACGTAACCAATGTAAAACTGACGAAGGTGAATGTTAAGAAAACCTGAGACAAGTAGACTGGATGGAAATAGTAAAACCGAGGTCTTGAGGAACCCATGCTGGATACACTTTTCAGCTAATGAGCTCAATTTCGGTCATCTTGAGGAACGGTTGTGAGTGGATTGCGACACGAAATCTCAACCAAGACTACAATCCACTTTGAAATGAACCTCTGTCAACTCGGTCATTCCTTCGTCGAACGCCACATACAATGAGAAGACACCGAGCAGTGCAAACAAGCTTTGTTACTATGCCGATACAAGGTAGCATCCGAATGAGAACCACACGATTGGAAGAGAAAGGTATAAGCGATGAACAGTGCAGCAGCAGATCTATAGGCAGAGACCAGCGGACGAGTCTAATACTTAAGTGGAGATCTCACAAATAAGTAAATAACGTCGATAAATGATCAAGACACTGGCAGACGTAGCTTCACGCATTGCAAAGGAGTGTAAGGTACCAGAAACATTGTCAGTAGAACTCTATATTAACAAATAAGGCGTCGAAAACACTATATTTTGGAACGAACACCCGTTTTGTATAGTTACTAGGTAGTTAACATGGTGACGTGTTCCTCAGACAATGCCCAGTAAGGCCTTGACCAAGGACCTGGTTCGCCATAACTCACTCACGCATGTACACGTGCCTCATGTATGCGCAACGTTCAACTTCCATTACTCACGCAAAACAGATTGCACAAGATGCCAGCGACGTTGTGAAGCGAGCTCACAATCTGCAACCGCATCGAGCAATGGATGCATTCGGTCGAACCCTAAAGACACAGTAAGCGGATGGGAAAATGAGACCCACAACTAAATCTCCCAAAATGCGTGGGACTTTATTTGTGATCTCGTGATATACCGGATATTACTAAATATAAGCCCGTCCATGGATAAGCCGACAGTATGACTTTGTAATAACAAATTGGTCGAGTTGTAAGTCATTAGATTAGACGACTACAAAATAAATCAGCGAAAAAAGAAACGAAATTGTTTCTCTGCGATTTTGAACTCATCACTACCTGCTCTCACTTGAGTGTGTTCAAGCGAAAGCTGTTCTACCATTGGCCAGTTGCGGTGACCATCATGTATAAGCACCTTAGATTTGCTACCAAAAATAGCCTTAATGCGTCATATGATCCAGCTGGCAGAGAATGTAGTTACATTTCATGCAAACTGCCAAAGTCTTGGAAAGGTGATTCCGCATGTTACTTTTAAATTGCGTATAACCTTTTTATAGGCCGACCCCCTCTAGAGAAACGAAAAATTGTCCAAGAATCATCGGCTTATATTTGGTAATATACGGATGTAATCTTATATGGCGAGAGAGGCCATGGGTCGCTGAGGCTAGATCCTGACAGATCGTTGACCCGCTGCTCCCAATGTCGTGCCGTGGACTCATGTACTGGACACTTCCTAGTGTCGGCCCATAGTCTGGAGGTAACGAGCATGTCTCGAATCTTACGGCGCGGGTTCGAATTCGCGTAGGGGTAGGCGTCCTCGCGGTATACTCAGCCCGCGTGAGACTGGTGGTGGTCGCACGGCAGTGAAGCGCCGTTACGACGTACAGCTGACATTTGCTTATATTTACACCTCCTAGTGGGGACGGCTGGGTGGGTTGGGTCACACACTTCAAGCTAAGAGACAGGATACACAATTCCGCGCGAGTCGGTTCGACGACTCATGGCGCATGACCGGCTGCGCGCTGCATGCATACCAGACGTACTCACAGCCGGCTGCACTATGGATGGCACCACTCTTTGAGCCTACGGCGGTCCAGAGTACCGTCCACCTCGTCACATCAACCAACGACTAACCAACCTGGAGCCAGTATAATCGAGGTTGCGAATTTTCGACAGCTTGTAAAGCTTCACATCACAAGGAGCTAGACTAGGGAGACCAGACAACCAAAAGAATTTGAAGATAAACATACGAAATTGTCATAAAAAATGCAGCAGAATAACAAAAATGAGCAAATCAGAAAAGGAATAGCTTTATCCTGGCTAACAAGATCGTTGTAGCACCAGGTATGCAACAGAAACTACAGCAGGAGGCGCATATATATATATATATATATATATATATATATATATATATAGAGAGAGAGAGACTACCCACTGCTGCTACTGTTGTGCCATTGCCTCATGTCCCGGAAACCTCGTGGCGACCGCTGGGTGGGAGTTGGGTTCCGCCCTTCTCCCTGCTAAGATCCAGAATACCAATCCGCATGAGTCAGTGAAATGATGTGCTAGACCCACTGCCTTTCGGGTGTACATTTAATCGAAGGTTTTGGCTGAGGAAACGAGTCGTTCTCCTGTCAGGTGTGGGCGCCCTGCCAGTACCCTAGTACATCCTCTTCGGAGATTAGAAAGTGGTCGATGGACCAATTCCAGTAAAACCTAGCCATGGGAGACAACAGGTCTACGGGTTATAAGCTCACAGCTCGATTGACGTAGAGCACGAACGTCACGCATTGTCTCTGACAGTGGGAGGGCACCGGGTGTTCAATGGTTTGCTACTGCCCGCCTCAAGCCAGGTAGCCCCTTGTCAAATTGGTGAAAACCCGCCAAAACCAAGCCGCGTCTAGCCGTGGTCGCATGTGTATCCTACTACGGTCGCAAAACATATATGAATCGTTCCAGTACAGCAAAGGCTGCGTGTGACGGCCGTCAACCAGATCCCAATCTGTCTCTGCAATCACATTCATCATCATCATTACACGTTAGCTGGAGGTGGAATACACCTCAGCTATTGTGCCGCAATACAAAATAAAAGAAAAGGAAAAACAGTGGCACGCCCGCTGAGTCCCCAGTAACGGATGGACATCGTTCCGGAGAGCTAACAGCTGGCTGCCGTAAAAAGAGAATCATATTATGCCTAACAGATGAGATCGTGATTGGAGGGGGATGGGCAAAGGAAATCACAACACAAACGCCATTGGTGCCGGCTCCGAGCCATATCAGCAAGTGTGTCCAACCAAACGTGTTCACCGTCCTTAGGACCCCAGCCAGGCAGTCGGGATGCACCAACCGACGCCAACTTTGAAGTGAGGGTTTTCATTTCTCTCGACCAAGTCATCACTTGGCCTCCCCTCCTTCTCTTCCAACCGCACCCACAACGCGCAAACAATGCACGTCGCGGGAGTCGGTGTGCTGGCATGCGCAACACGTGGCCCAGCCATCGGAGCCTGGTGCGTGATATAATGATGCTGAGCGGTTCACTCGCTCTGCCTGCACCAAATACGCGACGTCGAACACGCTCATTGCTCACGCGGTGTTCCCACCAGACATGAGCTAAGCTGCGAAGGCAGCGATGATCGAATGTGACGAGTCTCTTCATGTCAGTCGACCTGATGGGCCAGGTTTCACAACCATATAAGAGAGTGGAACGGACAGCTGCGTTGTAAACTCTGCCTTTCAGGGCGAGAGTAATGTCGCGTCTGCGCCACAGGTGGCGGAGATTGGCAAAAGCACCTCGAGCTTTTGCTATGCGGTTCGTAACCTCATCTTCAATCCCACGGGTGCTAATATAGCTGCCCAGGTACTTGAATTCCTGAACGACTTCTAGCAGATCACCACCAAGCGTTAGCGCAGGGTTGGGTCCCTGCCAATCTTGGAGAAGTACTTTGCATTTCGATGGAGCAAAGCATAGCCCAAAACGATTGACAGCCAGTGCTAATCGGTCCAGTGCTCTTTGGCATGTTTGGAGGCTGTCACAGATTAGGGCAATATCGTCCTCATACTCCAAGTCAATAAGTCGCTCACCAGGAAGTAGCTCCACACCATCTAGGTCGTGTCCAGCGAACGCTGTTTCCATGACTTCATCAATAGCGAAGTTGAAGAGGAAAGGTGACAGCGGGCATCCTTGTCTCACACCGCTGGTGATACTGAAGGGTGGCGAGAGTTTGCCATAAACCCTCACCCTGCCCGAACTATGCGTGTACAGTGCTTTGATAATGTTTACATATTTATCAGGCACACCTTTCCTCAGCAGACAGTCCCAAAGGGCACATCGATCGACCGAATCGAAGGCACCTTTTATGTCAAGAACACGACAACGGTGGGTCGCCAATAAACATGGCGGTGCTCCAACACTTGACGCAATGTGAAGATGTGGTCGATGCAGCCCCGACCTCGACGAAATCCGGCTTGCTCTTCACGAATCTGGCTTTCACGAGTGCCAGTCAGTCTGTGGAGAATGACAGAGGCAAGACATTTAGAGGCAATCGAAATCAGACTGATCCCTCTATGATTGCCGCATTCCAAACGAGAGCCTCCCTTGAAAATTGGGACAATGACGGAGCGGTTCCAGTCTGTCGGGACTGTCTCCTGCTCCCAAAGTTTTACTAGCAACTCGTGTAGATCATCTACTAGAGCAGGTCCCCCGAATTTGAAGAGGGCTGGGGGAATTCTATCTACTCCTGAGGCCTTATGCAATTTCAACAGCCGGATCTCACGTTCGACCTCTGCGCGTGAGGGCGGATCCGAGGAGACGGCCCAAGGAGAAGGGCGCTCAATGCCCGAAGAAGAAAGCGATAACTCAGGTTTGTTAAATTGCCTTCACATTACCGAGCTGGATCTGCTCCCCACTGCCTTGTGGGTCAGACAATTGAGCCAAAGGCTCCGGG